ATGGCTTTCAGCGTTGAGTCACTCGAGTCGCCCTGTTCGTCGCATCTGCCTGGCGTCTCTCGTGGCGAATGCCGGTGGCGGCAGCCAATACCGCCAAGGCCTGATGCAGCTCTCTCGACTCGTTGTCAGAGCTCTGCACGCAAACCGGTCACCAGACGTTGGACCAGTAACCAGTGAGGGCGACGCTTGTGCCGCCCCTTCTTCTGTTCGGGCTCTGCTGTCCAAGCTGATGACTTGCCTCTTAGGTGGCCTGTCTCGGGATTCCGACCGAGAGATTCGTTTGCTCTACGCTCAGTGGCTTGGTGCTCTGGGAGTTATCGACCCATCCAGGTTAGTCCTCCTAACGTATTCTTAGTGGATTTTTCACCCAATCGTAAAACTGGTATAGTCCTCCTGTTATTGTGGCAAACTTCTTATACCAAATGCCTTTCCAGAAATCATTTGTCATCGTCGGACCTGTCTTTTAGATTCCGTTGCCATACATTTAATTTAAAATAATATTGATATGGTTATTTCTGGGACTGCGGGGACATTTGGTCTAGTAAAGTGTTTCGCGTTATGCACCTGAGCACGGTTGCAGTACCCTTTAAAAAATGCATAACGAATTTGATTTCACTGCATCAATCATTGATTATGTATAAGTTGTTTAAAGGGAAACCATACACTTTCTCAAAGAAAGGTTTTAAATAACTTGTAAAACGTTAAAAAAACCTTTAAAGGAACTGATGGCGTGTACATATGTTGTGTTTAATTTGGTTTCGAATCGGGCATGCCTTTTTGCCGGTCACGAGAAAGCATCTTGTATGTCAGTCTTGTGGATTTGCCTTAATTTGTTTATGTTTTAGAATTCAACATTATGCTAGATCGTTTGAATGAGGGTGCGAACTTTGTCGCGATGTTGTGTAGTCCGTGGTCGCCATATGCTGTACATCGATTTGAAAACGATTCAGTACTTTTCACTACAAAATCACAAATTAAACACAGTCAGGCATCCTTTAGGATTATGGATGTTGTTAAAATTTTAATTAAGTGTAATCTCTTGCAAACAACAAGTGAGTTTACAATACAATTGTCGATAGTTACCTGGACAAACTAGAGAAATGTAAAATGTGTATATCTAGCTGTAAATAGATAATACCTTGCTGTTAGGACAAAAAAACAAAACTTTCTTACCTAATATTGTCACGAACGACAAAGTATGGTCATTTGATGCAAAAATAATCAAAAACATTGATTTGGCAAGAAGTGGTTACCAGGATCGGATCCACTAATCTGCGCGCATAGAACATTTTGCGTGGCCAAAGACCAACACCGTAGTTGTTTGCATCCCAAAGCTACAACGATTCCTCATAAAAGAAACAAATGCCTTCTGCAATTTTTAATGAAGGCAAGATCATCTCGATGCATAACAGCACTGCCATACGTAGCCAAGTGCACACTTGCACACGTTATGGTTGTGAACCCTAACTGCCGTATTTACTGGACCTTTTGCCTAGCGATTGATGTCTTTGTCCTCCAAAATTTAATGATTAGACAATGCCTATGCGTAGTGATTATTTCGAGTTTATTTTTGCACGCATTGTCGTTCAATAAAAATTTTAGAAGGACCAATCACGTAAGCTAGTATTTATGGATTACGGTCAGGTTGGTAATATCAATGCCATTTGTAGTTTTTTTGAGCGTTGTGTTACGAAATGTCGTATTGATGTTTCCTGACCCCTTTTGCGCGCAACCGCTTGATGGTCATGTATGGTCTCGGTCTAGGTTTCCATCGAATATTATCAGGAATGGTCAATTTTTTCCAATTGTAGGCTTTCCTTCACAGTCTGTCCGAGCGAAAGCACGCCAGTGGGCAGTGTTTCAGCGGCCCTAAATTGGGCTCATCTCTTCCCCTTTGATGTACTGATGGAGCTTGCCAAGATTTATATGCGCGCTGCTAGCCCTAAACAGCTGGTGAGTTTCTCCTTGTCCCTCAACAACTATAACGTCGATTTTTTTCTGGCTTTCTAGGATTCTGCGGCACTAGCAATACAGGAACTTCTTCGGTTGTTCGCAGTACCAGGAACATCTTTAGCTACAGCCGCCAACTTGCCTGATATTAGCCGCTTTATCTCGGGAACAGCTTTGTGGACCAAGTTTTCGCAGAGTGTCCAGGATCTATTTATACCGCTGCTGAACTCAAAGTAAGGCTTTAAACAACTCGCTTACTCATTCAACAACTTTTTGTATCATTTTGCAACGTCTATCCACGTCTGCTGATCTTTCCTAGCTAATCACCAAGCTCAGCCCAGTAAATGTTGTTTTTTGCGGATTTATGTACTTCGCGGATCTCTCCTGACCGTGATGCTTGTGGTGACCTGTGCAGAGTTTTCTTGACAAGTCGTACCACTGAATCCCCAAATTCTTTTGTATTTGCACTTTCTCCTACAACAGCCAGTATTTAGTTGTTTGATTCCCCCTGTTAGTGCAAACCAAAGTCTCACTTTGCTGCTTTGCGTCTTCACGAAACCTGGGAAGCTACTTATGCTGCTAGAAGCAGTGCAATTCGGGAAAAAGTAGTCAATCCCAAGTTTGTCACGACTTCCTTGTTTTTAGGTATGCTGTAGAGGCCTTCACTGATTGGAATTCCATAGAGACACCAATATTTGGTCAAGACAGTTGTCAGTCCTATGAGTCGTGGATCCGTCTGTGGTGTGGGTCCCTGAAGGTCCATGTAGGTCAGCCTGTTCGCATAAGCTTAAAGTGTGCCTGTATATTTACCTACTGTGTTTTTCTCCCATAGGTTTTGGAGCCGGCGACGAACCGCATGTTCCAAGTCTGTGAACCGGTTATTAAGTCAGACATGGAGTTTGCAAGGTATCTTCTGCATCCTGTTGCACTGCAGGTACTTATTGAGGGCTCCCAAGTGGCCATAACTAGGGTAGGTTTTTGATTATGGATGCTGACCATATTTAAACTCATAAGCCCCAAATCTTAAGTTGTTAGAAGGCAGGCAGTTGTGTACCTGGATTAAGTGAACGGGAGTGATTGATTGAGAAAAATAGCTTTAAACATAGGCTTGGTGCATCATTATTCATCGAGTTTATGGCGGTTTGAATGGATTGGCATATTTGAAAGGATGGAACCTCCGATATCGTGCTCCTCGTTACTACTCCTGTTCGCCCCGCTCACTATTCACTTTAGTTGGTTTATTGCACTAAGTGCCACCTGGTGCTATTTTTCAGACTGCAGCTAACCAAGTATAAACGATCTCATTTGACGCAGCCTGAATATCACGTGTGTTTGTGACATCGCTCGTCACTTTCATTTTATTGAATAATCTTTATAATGCTTCCATGTGAGATCATTGCTTTTAAATAATACGCCAGCAAAGTAAGTACTGACTATTCACGGACTTGATTGTTGCGTGAGTGCACCAATGTTTGTTTTACAATTTGTTAATTCTTCGATAAGTTAGGTGTACTAAGTTGGATGCTTCAGTGATGCGTCATTTGTAGCTTACATGAGCTTTTAAGGTTGCTTTCTAATGGACCAACCATTTGTGAAAAATTAAGTTGCGTGCTGAAGTTCTGAGTGTTTTGGAGACCGTGGCGGATGCCGAGCAACCTGGAGAACAAACTGCTGGATCACCGGCTGACTTTTTGATCCGCGGTTTGCCTCACATTGCCCCAGCAATGGGGGTAAGCATTTATACATTATTTACAGTGTTTATGCTTTGATCTGCCTACGAACACTTATCCCACAATAACACTTTCGTGCACCGTTATTGTAGATTTGAATGGAGTGTAAAAATCATGCATAAAACTGATATTATCTTTAATAATGTGGTTTCTGTGGATGAATCAGCCATACTTTTGGTTTTTTAAGTTACTAGCATGTTTATTGTTAGCGTTATGTAGTAGCCAAATCTTGATGTAACTTCGTCTCGTTTTTGACCATCTCAGATGTATTTTTAAGTGCAATCTTCGATAGCACTCCTTGCAATTACTTTTCAAAACACTATTTGCAAGGTAAATAAGTTTTCGTGTGTCGTCTAATCGCACGTTTTTACTTAGTCTAGTTTATTAACACTTGTTTGGAACTGTTATTTGTGCTTGTGTACTTATGATTGCTGGCCCATCCGACCCAAATAATTTTTGTGGCGCTTTTTATATTTACTAAGCAAGTTTCCTGATTTCCCGAGAACCGAAATTTCGTTTTCGAATGTATCCGATTTTCATTGAGTTTATTGTTCCATGCTTGAACCTGCCTAGCAATCGCACACGCAGATGGCTTGGAACTATTTTTGCCAAATTCCAAAGTACTGTCTTTAATTTTTACATAATTTTGAATATTTTTGCTTTTTTCGGTAAATTTTCCTCATTCCTTCACGGCAACTGCTTACTCGGTTTCACTCAAATTAAAATGTTCTTGAAGTGACTTCCAGTACACTTATGACTACATTTATCCCTAATTAATTGCTGCTGATTTTGAACATTTAGGCAAGAAACATGTGGTACATTTTGTTAATTTCTGGCAGCTAAGTAATTTAAAAGGTAATTTTGATAGTTACACAGATTCACTAGCACCATATTTCACCTTTCGACTGTTTCGGATCAGTCTGAACTGCCTCTGTCCCAACAATTTAGTCACCTCGGAGACCCTGGAGGCCGTGGTATCCGCTTGCAGCGCAGACCGTCTTTTCGCTTTTGGACTACCTGAGTGAATGGCACCGGGCACGATCGGCAGATCACTCGGCGGTGGTCACAGCGATCGCCAGAGCAGCAGGCAATCGGTCAGGCGGGGGATTCAAACCCACTGAAGATGAAAAAGCGCGTCTCACCGAACTTAATTTGGGTATGTTTGCATCGCTCTGCACTTCGTTCAGACCGCCATGGCTTCGGCCCAGATGTGTTAATCTTGGTAAAATAAAATATGCTGTATTTCGATTCAACCACCTAGCCAACACATATTAAGCTTTTTCACATGGCATTGTCCTCTTGCAGCAACTGCACGATCAGGTCAAATTTTCAATAATTTATCTTTTAGTGTATAACTAGTCAGGTATAGTAGCTAATGAAGTAGGCGCTCTGTGTGGCTATATATCAGAAGTCGAAGTTAGCAAATTCGACATAGTGAGTATCTCCGTTCTGAAGTTGTACGACGGCACATTTGTGTAACTAGGAAGTTCGAGATGCGCGAGTTAATAGAGTTGGATGTATTTGACTGTTGACGCTCAACACAGTACAGTTCCAAAACCATTTTACAAAATGTGTGGACGTTTATTCCCCTCACCTTTGTCGAGGCACTCTGAAGTGAGGACGCTGGTTAAAAGCACCAAGGAACTTTGAAACCCGTTTTGGTGCAACTGATTATGAACTGTAACTGTACGAACGTAATTTTACCTTTTCTGATTTGGTAGCAGCAAAGTGATCACTCTGCTACCCCAATGACTTTAATTCTAGGAATGTGGTCTCACATCACATCGGTCCTTTTGCATTGATCAATTTGATCTCCAACTTATGACAAAGCTTGTATTTATGCTGCATTTACATAAATTTATTTAGGTCTGGCTGCTATCCTCTACCAAAAGCATGTATTTCGCTCACGAGAATGCAGTACTTAACCATGTCTGCTCTTACGTTTAGCACTCACACGGGTGTCAGAGTTTTTCGAGTCGTTGGCCCACACTGTGCAGGCTAGAGCGAGTCTCCGTATTGGGGGTCTGGCACGTGCCCTGCGCCACTGGGAGCTGGCCTTCTCTGAGGACGAGGTCGCACAGAAGGCACTCTACGTCAGTGGTTTCATCGACCGCCAGGAAGCCCCACCTGGCCCTCTAATCAGCCAAAAGGGACAGGAAAGTCTCCTGGGAATCCTTGAGACGTTCACCGCACTACACGACACCGATGGTAAGACAAGCATACGCTGTCAGACTTGTTGTGCCTATGTCCTTGTTTGAGGAGGGTAGATTCGAGTAAGCCGATGTGTTGCAACTCCACCGCTTTCTTTTCGTTAATTGTTTGTCATGCGTTGTACTGCAGTTTCGGAATTCCTCGTGACTCGTGAATGAGCTTGAAAATTCATTCGATTGATTTAACGCGACAGATTCTCGTGCGGGTTGAATACTGCCGTCGTTCTATCTGCAGGTATTATAACTTATCATGTTTGTTTAAATTTAGGCCTAGTAGGCGTCTTAGCCCAGATGCAACAGGTAGAGGTTAGTGCATTAAGTGCGACAACTGACAACGACTCACTCCGGATTTCCATGCTGCGAGCCTTGCAACTGGAGAATGAGGACCAGTTAGACATGGCCTGTGCCACCTACGAGCACGCTCTTGCGACGTTCAAGGGTGAATTTCAGCCACTGGGTCTGCATGCAGGTCTCTTTCGGTGTCAGTTGCCCGATCCGGCTCGTCTACAGGCACTCATTGCCCGTACAGATGCTCTACTAACAGTGCACCCTCCTGGCACCTTTAAAACTGCTGCTTGGACACGGAAGCTGAATGAATACCGTACGGAGGCGGTTATCCGACTTGCGGATTGGGAGAAATTGGATCAAGTTGTCTCCTTGGTAACGGCAGCTGTTTTCAAACTAAAGCACCATTTTTCATAGTTATGGACGTGTTCCATGGCCTGGGTACGGGATCTTGTTCGGTTTTTTGATAGAGCATCTTTAAAGATAAATTTAGGCAAATTTTGCGTTCTGCAGCTTCCGGTAGCAGGAAACCGCACCTCTTGACTCACTTCATTCTTGTAGAAATCATCAGAATCCTCGTGGTCGGTTGGACTTGGTAAAGTTTTTCTCTCGATGAGGCAGGGGCAACCGGAGGTGAGTCATTGCTTTTTTTAACATTCCTATTTAGCCATGATTTGATCTGTTGAGGGCCCCGGCATGCTGTCTTGAGCCACGCCGGGGCCACTGCGTCAATCTAGGCCGATTACCCTACTCTGAGTGCCCGTGCAAAATAAGACCAGAGAGGACAAGGCACAACCGTTTACCAGACAGCTCAACTTAGTTGTGTTGTTTTGACTGATATAGTTTAATGGACTAGTTAAAAACATAGAAGTCTGAATGGTCACATGACTGGAGCGGGTGGTGGCGGTTCATACAGAGGGGTGAATGGGCAGGCTATCCCAGTGACTGACGGGCACGCCGTGACAAGGGGGACGTGTGAGGCTGCGACAACCGGGTTTTGGCCCAGCCTCGTGCTGGGCGCTTGTGAACTCGGACGGTCCCCATTCGCTCTCACTGATTAATCATTTTAGCCCCACTGTTAAAGTGCTCTGTATTGTCTTATAGAGAGGGAAACATGAATTTGTCAGTTTGCCCTGCTGCTTTGTATTATACATGAATATATATCTTTTTTGTCACTTCTGCTGTGGCTGTATTCCCACTGGCTACCGTCTACCATTCTGAGAGAGGTCTCAATAGGCTGACTGCAAGTCAAAAAATAACTGTTGAATGTTAGAAATTGTCTTTTTGCACAGAACCGCTTTCTGCTCGTTACATTATTCCCTTAACGAAATTTTGTAAGGCCCTACGCTCTCAACAGCGACGCAATTTTCTTGATGAATTGCGACTGAGTCAGATGAACAACCTCGCGACTGCTGCTCTGGAGGGCTCCAGGGGGTACTTACGAGCCTGTGAACCACTTGTGAAGTTAAGCCTGCTCACAGAGGTCGAAGGCATCATTGGCTTGGGCGATCAGCTGGCCAAAGAAATCGCGGCAGTCAATCGACATGGTCTGCCGACATGTCGGAGGAACTCCGACGTATGTTTTCTACTATTTCCTCAAACCTTTGTACAAGCATTGCGAAAGCTTCGCTTTCGAATATCTGCTATCTCATGATAACAGAAGACAAGGTAATGGAGCGGTTTTTCTAATACTCATTTTGTGGAATTCAATGTTCTGAACTGGCAGGTAAATGTTTGTCGTTGAAATTACTGCCAAAATATGTTGAAGGCGGCTAGGCGGTGATGTGCTCAGTGTCGGACCCGAGGGCACTTGTTTGTTCTTGCTGTTCCTCAGTGTGCATGTTGGTGACTCCAAGTCAAGGGAGTATTGAGCGATTGAAACAAAACCGTTAGTGTTGGTGTCACTAAACAATAAACTGAATCTTTGACCGAAGGTTTTGTTTTTATCAGTTACTTGTAGGTAACATGCTCTCTTGGCTTGAAGCTCGCCTTCAACAGAGTGGGTCGGCACTTCATACCTTGGAACCTGTCCTCGCGATCCGCCATTCCACCATCCAGCTCATTTCTGCCGGTCTCAAGGAGGCCGCCTGCGCATCCCGCTCGGCCCTCTGTCAGCAACTGCGAACCCATCAGATTCGCCTTCTGGATTCAGCTCTTGCTAATAGTTGGCTGCAGCGTGCGAAGCTGGCGAGAAGGTGATATGCTTTTATTGTCTGTCCCCGGAGTATTGTTTCTTCAAGTAAAACCCGAAACCATCTCATTTGCTGAGTGGGTGTTGTAGCTACTGGTGCCCAAGGCCATTGTTTAATCATGACAAGTGAGAATCACAAATCCCTCCTGTCTTCTTAGTCGTAATTTTTTAGGCTCGAACCCAGTAGTAAATTTTCATTGAAACTCCCTTTCTGTCGCTGTCCTAATTTAGTCATATTGCTCATGTTTTTGCCAATTCAATCCCGAGAACATCCAAATACGATAAATCGTTCCAGTTTAAATGTTGCTCACTACGGTGCATTCGAAATCCGATTTTGGTCCCAATTTTTATCAAAGGGAATCGAACTCAGGGTGTAGTTATCTAATTTGCCTCTCATATCGGCCTATTCTCGTGCCTCAATTTCGCCACCAAATGCAACTTCCTTGTGCCCCAGGGCCGGACAATTCATGGCGGCGTACACGTGTGTGCTGAACGCCGAGCGCTGCGGCAGCCCCGGCGCCCTGACCGAGCGCGCCAAACTGCTCTGGCAGACGGGCAAACGTGAGGCCGCCCTCACCTGTCTGGACGAGGGTCTCAGGTTGACATCGGCCGCCCCCACCTCACGCCGCCACGTGCAGCCCCTCGCGATGCCACCACCAGTGTCCAGGCCTGGTACGAAGGAGTGCTCCTCAAAGTCTCCGGTTTCTCCCTGTGCACAGCAGGTGAGCTAGTTCCCACTGATCACCTACTTGGATGGTTCCCTTTTCTCCTTAAAATCTTTTTGCGATTTGTCATTTGGCCATGGGGAATAGACCTCAGTATAGGGAAGATTTTACTCAAGCCCCCGGAATATGTGTTTATTCTATCCTGTGGTGTTTTTGGTCTACTGGGTATGCTGAGCTAGTATCGATGTTGTGGTTGTGTAGTAGTTTTAATTCTTACTGCATAATCGTTACTGCTGGTGTAATGACGTCGGAGCCTTCATAGCACCAAAATAAAGTATTTCGTGGGTTAGTACGAGAAAATCTAAGCTGCAACATCACTTCCTGGTAGCAGCCGTGGAAACCAGTAATTGTGGTAAAAACACCATTGAATCTTCTAATCAGTTTCATTTGCCACAATTATCCAGGTGATAACGATGAAGACAGGTTTCCGCCATCTTAGCATGGTCCAGCGTTTCCACCATGCTGTTTTACCACCGGATCGGGTGGATACGAAATATAATGAAAATTTGCTTAATCACAAGTAATTCTTTCCCTCGATTCTGTTGACGCTCCAGTCAATCAGAATGAAGTTATGACGTTTTTGTTGGGGTGCAACCTGGCCAGACATCCTCGCATCTCACCCAGAACATGCTTCTCCATGCAATGACTCATGCATTTGACCTCTCATGAACAGACAACTTTTTTGTGTATTCTGGAGTGTACGTGCCTAGGCGTTTCATTGGCTCCTTTGATTTGGGCAAAAAGAGTTTGCAGCTTTCGTTGATAAAACTGACGCCACTTCAAAGAGTGTCGAATTTCCGATTTCCTCGCTCAGTTAACTCTCTCTCGGTGTTGCATCCTTAGTGAGCCTTCGTGTTCTCCCAGCACTAGAATAACACACACTTCAAGCTTCAAACAGAAGTCGTTTTGGCGTAGAAATCGGGCATTTTCTTTAAATAAATCACGCTGTTTGCGTTACACTTTTCGTCGGTCACCACATCAACCCCTATTTCGTTGATTTCCTTTCTAACCGTCATCAGCATATGTAATATATAAAACAGTGACAGATTCCAGAGCTCCATGTTTTCGATATTCTGTTGTTCCACTCGTCAACTTTTTAAATCCGATTTTTGTGGGTTTCTTCTTTATTATAAAATGAAACCTCTTACAGTGACAATTAGTTTTCCGAACAAGGGTGGCGTTGCACCAGGCAGCGCATAATCTATGCCATCCTCATTTGCGTTTTTCGGTACTTAGCTGTTAATAATGTCTGATGTCGTCTACAAAAATTTTGAAATTCCGTCAACACGCGACAAAAACTGTACTAAAGGCAACTGCTCTTTTTCATCGCCTTGCCGGTGAGCATAGATGTCTGTTTGTTCTTCTAATTCAATTTCGAACCACTGTGCTCCACAAGGGCTGAATTGTACAGAACTGTGTGAATAACTGATTGTTCTAACACGGAGTAGCAGTCTCGCAGCGTCACAACGGTTCCTAGATCGCAAAGCTTAAAGAATGAACTCTGCCTGATTGGGCGGGTCTGATTAATCAACGACAGCCGTCCCTTTTATTTTGCATGCTCTGCAGTCATTCATGGTAATCGCGTGTAGGCCGTGGTTCAGTCTCTCTCCCTCTCTCATGGATGACTTCTTCAAATGTTCTTAATATTTTCTTCTCCTCATTAGACCCTGCTCCTACGCGCACGTTATTGTGAAGAGACAAGTCGCTTTGATTTCGATACGACACGACATCTCTACTCGGATATCTGTGAAACATTCTCTGGCTGTGAAGAAGCCCACTTCCGCCTAGCTCACTATGTCGATGAGGCTCGAAATTCCTCAGGGAGCCAGCATGAGTAAGAAGAATCTTTAATCACTGTAAATCACTTTAATTGTCTAGATGACTTAAAACCGTTTTGTTTTTGCAGCCTCCTTCTGAAAGTTGCTCTGGAACACTACGGAAAAGCTCTGGCCTGTGGTAGCCAATTTATTTACCAGTCTATGCCCCGTTTCCTAACACTTTGGCTTGACTACGGTGCTGAAGTAGCAAAAACGCAAAAACAGTCTTCGATTCCATCAAACATCCGTTGTGCTGGTGATCATAAGTCAACTGCTGTTGATGTGGCCACCACTTTTGACGAAGTGCAAAACGTAATTTCTACTAATCGATGTTTAGTAGAGGTCAGCTTTGAAAGTCATTGATCATTATTTTTCCGCTTTCAGCTTATGCGCCAAAATTTACAAAAAATTCCTCCTTATCAGTTCTACACTGCCCTTGGACAAATTTTGTCTCGTGTTTGTCATGAACATCCGAATATTATTAAAATGCTGATCGACCTTATTGTTCGAATCTTTGTGGCTTATCCACAACAAACCATTTGGTTCCTTATGTCTTTGCACAATGTAAGTTCCTGATGTTTGTCTGCGCGTTCTTTTTCCAAACCTTAACCAAAACTTTTTTTAGTCAACAGTTACTCAACGACGGGAACGTGCCCAGCAGATATTTGCATCGGTCATGTACGTCTCACCTGGATACTTAATGTCATTTTAGTCTGTCAGTTATGCCAATCCGCGTGTAAATGCTTTTTAGGAGTCTTCAAAATTCACTGGCTCAGTTCCTCTCGGTATGTTCCCTTGCCATTTTACCAAGCCGCAGCGGTGTGTAATCATGTAATCAGACTGGTAACACTGCAGTTTTGTTCAATAGTTCACCATAATATTTAATAGTCAATGGATTCGACATAGCCAACGTTACGTAGTGGTAACAACTAAATCTTACTTGCAATAGTTTGTATGTGAGTGCCTTTCATCATACTACGGGCTTTCTATAAACTCATGAATCACCACACTAAATTGAGGCGCAATCGCACATGCTGTTTGGCAGTTCCTTGAACATTGTCATTTTTAGGACTGCATTGCCTTCTGTGCCCACCTGAAGACAATTTGTGATCTTTTCGTAACTCCCGACAATCGAGACGTAAAGTCTTTCAGCATTTCCCAGGCTGCTCGCCCATTGACCCGTCTGCTTGAGAAATGGTGAGCTCTTTGTGAATACCTTAGGTCGCTTTCCCGTAGTTCTTTTTCGCATTCTCGTGCTCATTATTTTTTGCGCTAGTTTTGCCGTCAAGTACGTGACACTTTTGGTCTTGTGCGTAAACCAACTTCCGTTAAAGTACCGGTGATTTCACATCTGTAAATTCTTTCAGATGTGCAGTCTAGTAAGTACGAAAATTGGCTTTGCATATTACCTACATAACTCTCCTTGAAGTTGACAATTTATGACTCACCACAGAGTTTTTTGAAGGTGTTTGTTGTTGGTTTGTATAAGGCTTTCGTCACATTAATTTTATTCGACGCTTTTGTCAACCATTGTTTGTGCTCTTATGATTGGCCTGGATTTAATCATTGCACTGTTGATTACTTACATAAACAATCACCAAGTTCGTCCATGGTTGACTTTTAATGTGCGTGAGTGTCGTAGTGTCTTGCCCGAACATGCACTCCCGACTATTCGCGGATTCAAATGTCAAATATGACACTTTGATGGAATGGCTCTAGAAGGTCGAAGTAGCTGTGCTCACTTGCGTCTTCGCTTAAATTGTTATGTGCATGGATATCCTGGAACCCACTGTCTGTATTATGTAGTTAACAGGTTCCGATTTTTTATTATCTGGAACACGTTAACTGTGCCACAATTTCATCATTTAACGAAGTCGCCATGCAGCTTCCACGAAGCCACATTTGTCTTCGCCTTGTGGTTTTCTTACTTGGCATAATGCGTTTAAGCGACTTCTCCCAAGTGCTGATCCCTGTGCACCGTCAGTTGGTGCCCGCACTTCTTCGCCCCCGCGCCCCTCAAGAAGAAGTGCGCAGTCACCTGCCGTTCGGTCCATCCGACCGGTTCGTCTGTTTGGCACGTCTTGAAGACAAAGTGGAGATACTGGGCTCACAAACACGTCCCAAGAAGATGATTTGGATCGGTAGTGATGGGCGTCGCTATGTGATCGTTGCCAAACCCAATGTGAGTGGTGAAATTGTACATGTTAGCGTATCACATAGCGGACGTGCTCACTCGCAATCTCCTTTCATTTAAAATTCTCTACGCTGCTTTTAAACCCGTTATTAGGCCAAAAGACTCTGGTGTATCTTAGTCTGACTCACTAAACCATCGATGCAATCTAGCCAACAGTTGCCATGACATGTCTGAATTTGCTTCACTTCACAGTCGAAATTATGTTCACGCTTTGAGTACAGGACTTATGCTGAACCCTCTGTTTGTAGACTTTTATTGATTAGAATTCCGCTAAGTTTGTTAGGGCTTACCAATATAATCGGACTTCATCGCTAACACTTTATAAGCACTTGTTCATCAAAGTCAGCTTCCTGAATGTCTGCCTTGGCCATTTACTCTGTGCTAGAGGGCATTGGACTAATCATTTGGTTCATGTGTTATTTTTGAATCATTGACAACATGCTTTTGACAAATCTGCGTATGTTTCTTATGACGCAATTGAAGTATAGCAAATGTCACTCATGTTACGTTCAATGTTGATTTTACTTGCATTCTGATAACATGAAGGGTCTCTTCGTTTACTTTTTTGCGCAGATATAAACTCGTAGTAAAATCTCTTTTGTGGTCTGAGCTACATTTTGTATCAGTCAACTAATTTTTGCATCTGAAATGGAACCGCCACACGTAGCTATGAGGCAGAAAAAATTAGGTAATTTGCTACCGTCCCCACCCCTGTTAAGCACCGTTCATTGTGTTAGTTGACAATTGCTTTGGATTGAATTCATTTTTCCAGTACTCACTTTCTTCTTATCGGTTCTGTTAAATGTGTTACCTGTTTTTTAATTTAACCTTTCATCTGTCTTTCTGCTGTCGATAGGATGATCTTCGAAAGGATAGCCGGCTCATGGATATGAATAGCATAATTAATAAGTTCCTGTTAAAAAATCCGGAGACTCGCCACCGCGCTCTGCAAATCAGGACCTATGTAAGCTACATTTTTCAAATTGCCGTTCTTCATTGTTTGCTCTTCTTATTTCGATGCATAAATTATGCTAATAGTTTCGTGAGAAAAAAATTACCTAATGCAATGCTAGAAGGACCCATTTGTCTCTGCTTTTTCCTTCTGCTAGTTCATTTTCGTAAGAAGTGGTAATTTCGGTCTTTTAATCTTCTACTGACTTGGGTTTCCAAAAATTTCACAAACTGAGTACTATAATTTGGTTGTCTGCGTATTTTGTGTCTTCACTGTTTGCTTTTTACTAAGGAAAACTGACTTTAGGCGCCATTGTTTCACTGTCATTTGCTGTGAATTTAACCCAGAAGCAACCAACCACAATCTTGTCGTAATTTGCCACTGCTAAAAACTTCGACAGTTAGCATCTATCTCAGAGCCCAAGGTCATTTCCCCCGTAAATTTTGACTGCGTAGGGTTGGGCGACTGAGGGTAATGTTCGACGTGAGTTCAAAACTGTATTTGTAGAATCAACCATTAACTCCAGTTCTTCCTTTCACCGACTGGTCGATCGTTCTCCAAGTTTCAACTTAAGTCCGCATTTTTCGCTTTGATAGGCTGTCATTCCTCTGAGTGAGAACGGTGGCTTAATTGAATGGGCTTGCAACACCCAACCTTTCCGCTCCATTCTCACAAAGCTATACGCTGAAATCGGACGCCCCTTCAACTGGATGAAAATGAATCAAAACACTCCGCAATTGGATGATCCGCTTGAGTGAGTTTACTTCTGCATTTCTGCCCTCTGTAATTCTGTTAGCTGCTCCAATTTAACCTTTTTCCACCTTAGAAGACGGTTAATCTTTGGTGGATTAAAACCAAAAGTCGATATTGAAGAAATGGTAATCTGGCTGTCTTGTAACCTTTACAACCTTGAATTCTGCCTCTTAAAGTACACAATTTAATCGGTTCGCTGTGAACTGAAACTCAACGTTTAGTGTTAATTCACTTCCTCCCGGAGTTCTTAGCAGGCTTGTTCTCACTGCGAAATCTGTCGTCTTCCATTGCTGCATTCCCATATATCTGGTCTGACATTTTTAGAGTGAAAAGAGAAAAGTTCGTCAAAAAGTTGCTTCCAATGTATCCGCTAGTGTTCCACCGTTGGTTCCTAAATGGATTTCCTAACCCGAGTGTTTGGTAAGTGTGCTTTCATCCCTCAATCGCACTTCTATATTTTTGCCTGATTTAGCCTTGTGACTCCTAACTTTGGCCAGGCCCACACTGCTTTGGTGGTAAATTTGATAATTTGAATGGATAGTTTGCTATTTATTTCATCTTAGCATCTTGTGTGAACGAATTTGGTGGTACCTAGGCTACGTTACTCGCCTACAATGCGTTTTAATTGGCTTCTGTGTCGCTGGTGTGAATGTGACTTTATTGCTTAAATCGACTTTTACCCTGTTTAAAGCACCTTCCGCTTTATTTATATCTTCCTGCCTGTTTCGGCTTGCAAATCTGTGCCTCCCACCAAGGCTTGACGTGCTTTAGAAATAGGGCAACTGTGCGCTTTTCAGGTACGAAGCCAGGGAAACATTCGCTCGTACATGCGCAGTTATGAGTATGGTCGGTTACGTGCTTGGATTGGGTGATCGGCACACTGAAAATATTCTCTTCGATTGCACGACGGGCGGCCTGGTGCACGTTGACTTTAGCTGCGTGTTCAACAACGGCCTGACGCTTCCGTGGCCCGAACGCGTTCCCTTCAGACTGACCAGGAACCTCGTGCATGCAATGGGTCCCACGGGCTACGAGGGAACCTTCAGACGCTGTGCGGAGGTTACCATGCGCCTGCTAAGGCGTGAAATCGACCCACTGATGGCTGTCTTTCGTCCGATTTACTTTGACGCCCTTGTCGAACAAGGCGGCGGATCACGCGCATCTGATGATAGTACATGTATGCCTTTCTACCTAAAAGTTGGATTTCCTTTTGTTTTCTCAGTCACCACTTCCGCTGCTCTTCCGTTTTCAGCAGCACCTTTATCTGCGCAGTGTATTTTATTTGCTTTATTTCTTTTCGGTTTACTTCTCATCCCTCTTCTGCCTACATTTTTGTCCGCCTTCGCTCTTTTTCGTGTGTGTGGTAAAGTAGAGTGCTGGATTCCAACCATCAGTGTCTTGCCTAACGTTTTACGTAGTCGATTTTTTTCTCTACCACGGACGTAGTTTGTGGGTTTCAGTGACGTTTATTATGCAGGTTGGGTTCCTATCTTGCAACTAGGATCGTTTGTTACTTTGGGTAGTGTTGCTCGAATATATTCCAAAAACGGATAGTATCAGCTAAGTTTGTTAAGCTCTCTGACATTTCTAGTAATGTATTGGCTCGCTTGCTTGCTTTCCATTATGCTGCAAAAAATCTTCAATATATCCTCACAGTTTGCGAATGCACTGCATGTCAAACACACCAGGCAAATTGCGTTGAACTTTTATTAATTTTTCACCTTGATAATTGGAATTTTAGCCACTCGTCGTAGTCGTCGGCTGGGTCATGAAGTGGCCGCCATCGATAAAGTATCCCGTGCAGCCATGGAAAAACTTACCGACATGGAAGACCGTCTGCGAGGTAAAATAACTGAACATGACGACTTCAGCAAACTCCTCCCGATGTCCGTGGAGGGACAGGTAAGTCATGCAAAACTTGCTTTCGGCAAATTATCTCGTTTCAAACCTTCTCTGAACAGACGCAAGGGCCATTGGTGTTTTCGGGCCGGCTGCAGTGTCACTGATATTAAGTTACCTATTTTTACTGTAGTTAAATTGTGTATATTACCTGTTTTTTTACCATAAGCTCCCCCTAACTGGCGCCAATCACATTGCCAAGGGAGTTTCACGTTAGATTCTTATAATTGCCTGCAGTTTTACCTGTTTCAGTCACGGTAAAGCGTCACTGGTCTCGTTTGTGTAGTCAACCTACTTACGCGATTCTACACCATGTTCAAATTCCTATGAATGAAGTTAAGGTCATTGTGAAAGTTGGGACTTTGTTTCAATGCCTTTGAATGACACTTTGGACTGATTTGAGAATTGAGAGCAACGCATCTACCACAGAATAACCGGCCTGCACTCGTTAGCAGCAGTATGCGGACAAAGCTCAGTCGTCTAAAGTGGGAAGATGTATTGCTGCAAATAATTTCACGAGTGGAATGCCTAATTGTTGGGTCCTCTGTGGCAAGGCATTGTAGTTCGATATATTTAGACACACATTTACAGGGCATTATCCTTGCTTCAAAGCTTTCACAAAACCGTGCCACGTCACTGATTACGTTTGAGGTCATTTCGCTGCTACACACAAGCAGCCTTCAACAGATATGTGTAGATGCTTTGCTGGACTGGCCTTAATTCGCGGATAAAAGGGTGGTAGCCATAAGGGAAATGTGTGTTTCGTTTCGCAGGTTGCCCGCTGGTTTAACTGAAACCTACTTTCTGGAAAGTGTCACCAGCTGGTGGAATTGCCAGTGCAAAATGATTCCATTTCACACAATTACAAGGAAATATAGCGAAGTGGCCGGTCTGGACGACGACGCGCCGCTAAAACTTTGCCATGCTAGGTAGCACCCAGACAAATCCGAGGTAGGAGGCAACTGCTGCGAAGTAGATTAGGGCGAGGAATCCGCCGTGGTTAAAGGTGCACGCCAACTGCCACGCGCCTAATCTAATGCCCAAGTTTAGCAAGCTGCGTAAAACGCCTTGCGTGCGTGTTGTTGTCCCTTTGTTGCCTTGTGCTTTATCTGCTTCTCGGTTTTTTTGTAGTTAATTGATTTGTGCACAGTTTGCAGTGATAATTTCGTAGCCTTGCGTTGTACCACCATGCGTTGTCACTTTGTCCCTGAGGTGGGTCCTCGCTTACGTGGTATTTGAATAAACTTTCCAGCAAATCGAGTGCAAATTTTGTGGAATGTGAAAAGTTAAATCTGAATTTTTGACCTCCGGACACGATAACCTTTTCTACTTTTGCAACAACTAATGCTACTTAACCATGTAATTCATTCAGAATCGCTGTTCTGCAACTTGTTTAAATTGTGTTAATTGATCGGTCAGACATAAATATCGAACTTATGGCTAGGAAATGCACTCAAGAGGCTTGAATTTCATTCATAGGTTGTTCTTAATTTCACAGTAAGGACACTAAATTCAAAAGTAAGAAATGTTCAAACACATGGTAACAATGCTTATCAGTTTATAATTCGTACTCAAGTGTATTTAGTCAACTCCACTTTTTTGAACCCCTTGGAAGCTATATTAGTTAATATAGCTTTGACTCGCAACTGACCTTCCAAGTACCCCTTGTTTGAGTAATTGAGATTCATTAGTTTAGCCCTCCTGATTATTGTAACGCGGCAGATTCGTTTGATTATCTTTATTAATGGCGTGGATTTGTATCTCGTTGCCCTAGCTGGTAAAGTACTCTATTTCTTGACACACAAAACGTCCATCCCCCTTGCCACTAATGGGTACAATAAGTTTCGCCTGCTGGTTAAAAACATCAAATTTATCAAGTTTGATTTTACCGCCTCGCATTAAAACGTCCAGAGTGCGGGCAGCTCCCCTAAACGTACCTCATATTTGGTTGTCAAGGCCTCCTAAAAACAACTATTATCACTATGACGCTAACCTAAGAATAGCACGCTGGGTCATAAAGTACCATTTAGTGCAAATGCCAATCTGACAGCCAACGTAGCGACTCCGTCAGTGCCAATTTTAACTACGTGGCTAGCAAAATCCCTTAAATATACTTTGCAAATATTGACGCTTGTATGCAACCTGAATGGGTTTTCATCCCTGTAACAAAAGATGATAAACATTGTCCTCGAAAGCAGTTTATTTACAAGAAAACTCTTTCATTTCGTAAGCAACAGGGGAAATTGCTGACCCATTTGGTACCTGTGGACGGTTTTTTCCGATCAAACTCCTTTTTTAATTATCAATTCAAAATTTTTAAATTATGTAAGCACCACACATTTTAATACAACTGATGTAACTCTTGAAGCCGTGCTCTACTAAACAGCAGGAATGCAATCTGAAGAAGAATGAATGCAAGGTTTTTAACTATGTTAACATTTTGATTTATTTAGAACTAAATTAATAACCGTAAGTCTAATGTCTACTTTGAATTGTTAGTAAATTTTCCTCCATTATCATCAAGGGCTTAATTTGATTAATAAACCCTGGGGTTTGATCAAAACACGCCAAATTTCACGTTTAGATGTGCCATATAAAATCATAAAACCCGAGATTTTCTAAAAGGAAATTTTTGTAAATTGTAGAAATTAAGCCTTTTTCAATATGTGCAATATGCTTGGGGCTACGTAGTGGCAAAAATGCTTTAATTTGACACATGTAAGTAAACTTGGTTAACCATTAAACCGATTTTACATTTTCCTGGCGGTCGTGTCTTTCTATGATCAACAGTCATGCTTCTTACTGTTAGTTTTCAATAGTTGACTGACTGCTGTATATTGCACGATGCTGAGTGAGTGTAAGGTTGGCAAATACATTTGAAAAGTTGTTCGTATGTTAAAGGCCTTTCAAAGCTGTGTGCAATAAAACCCGAGGATATTCACAAATGTCACTTCTAGATTTACAATTGATGGGCTTTATAGTCATGCAATTAGGACACTGATCAAGTGTCTGTTTACCGTAAAGAAGATGTACATGCGGCTTGGTCTGAGATTCGTTTATTAAATTAAAAAACAAAAGGGCCCTGTTTACTTGGCTCCTAGCTCGTAAAATCTAACTTTAGTTATGCAAACCAACAATTCTAAAAGGTAGATATAAATTTACAGGTTGTTCAAAGAAAATGTGAGTTGAATTTAACAATATAATTGCCTAAGTTATGTATTGATATTAACCAAGTTCCGTTCCATGTTTGATGTGTTAATTTTAATGAAAGTGTTTTAAATAAATGCAAGACTTTAATAATAAATTTAATTAGCATTCCCGTCTGTCACGTGCCGCAGTTAGTTTTTAAAATATACGAAATTAAATTTTTGGGGACTTAATGTGTTAGTCAAGGTCAGTGCAGGAAATTTCTTTTTCAAACAAAGTTGTAGTGACAATTACTGAATTTTACTCTCAAATGACGACACCTACTTTGACTTTGAGAAGCTTTCCTTTAAATTTCCTAAAGTATTTCCACATTTCATCCAAGTTGTTATTTGGTAATCGCAAAAACACAACACCAGAAGTGCGCAGTCTACTTAAAGCCTGAATTCAGAACAAAGATGTTTACTTCATACAAATTTCGATTCATGAAATTAAGCGAAACGGGGTGTCACAATTGATGGTGAGTCCAAATAAATCTAATACTCTAGAGCTTATTAATGAATTTTCATAATATTGCTTATTAAACCAAAATTATTTTAATGTCTATTATTCCACTATCAAAAATCATGAAACTCTCTTCAAATAGGTTGTTATGTAGAAGTATTTCTTGTGGATCTAATTTGTTAATGTTAGTCCGGCATATGGGTGATGACATCGGTTTCTTTACAGATAACTTAGTTCAATTCCATAATGATACAAGTTAAATTAACTCCTTCATATCACAGTTATTCCTGTAGAAAAACGAAAAGGTTTGTTGTCCAAAAGTTATATAAGCTTTTGCCACTATAAGATCTCTTGCAAATATGACTTACGTCTTGCTTACTTACACACGGTACCTATTATAAATTTCATTTACTAGATCAAATACCGCTTCTTCCGTTTGCTGTGTATGAGCAGAAAGGAAACATTGAATTGAATTATTCTTCTTGGAGTAAACGCCGTTGCTTAATGACAATGGATTGAAATGACGCATAGGACAGCACAATCTTTCTAAATTTGTGGTCATTTATCTTGATGTACAACGAATGGTTTATGTGGTAGTCAATAAATAATATTTTCGTGATGCTAAAAAAATCTCTAGCATTTGCTTTCTAACACCTTTGGCAAGCGCAACGTGGATTTTACATTTTTTGCTTATCCTAAATGAATAATTCCGGAAATCAAGTCATTTCACATTTCACGGACACAGTGATTAGATAAAATAGGTTTTCCATACCGCCTCACACTTGGCGCATTTCTGGGCAAATTTGTCTTCATAACACTGGACACAGATGATGTCGCCACCACGAGGAATGAAGCTTTTGGCACCAATAGGCTGATGGCATTCTGCGCAAAGAAAACACTCTTCATGCCACGCTCCTCCCTTGTACTCGTACTTTCTCATCGCCGCCTTGAAAGTTTTCCCACAACCGTCGCATCGGGCCGCAAATTTCTCATCGAAGCAGTCTGGACAGAAAATTGCGTCGTCTTTGGTGGCGAATGGCCGATCAGCGAGGGAACTCTTGCACTCCGTGCACACGAAACAAGCCTCATGCCAGTGGCGATCTTGAAAGGAGAGGTCCTGTTAAATATGAACAGGAAATGGACATGGTGTTTATCTAGCACCCATGGGTATCAACTTCTGATTAAGTCAAGCCAGTCACTGCGACACAGAAACTTTCTAAAGTTCAACGCGAATGAGTACGTGATTTTCGGCGCATGCAGATGTCAACACCGCTATTTTATTTTATATATTGTCTATAGACCCTACTCAACGATTGATGTGATGTCAACAGAAAACACAGATTAATCGACTTTTGCGGTTCGGATATTTAACAGCCTGACAAATATCATTGCTGATAGTTACACATATTTATGACCGTAATATGCAATTATTTGACATTTAGGTGGTTTTGAAAGGCGAATTTCGTACCGAAACAGATTCGATTAATAAATACGAAAATATGATAGCACTTGCTCACTTCCCTTTAATTACTGTAAGCAACAATGTCATAGCAGTGTTAAACTTTAACATTTCTATTGATTCATGAATTTCCTGATCCGAAGATGTGATCTTGTATTGCCAGTAAAAAATAATAATTACACATTATCTTCTACTGAGAAATCTGTCAAGTGAACTGAAAGTTGTTTTTTTGAAAAGTTGGCCTGGTGTTATACTGCATCCTAAAATTCACAAAAAGTGAAGTTACTGCATCCTCTTCTGCTGGGTGTGGTGAAACTGAATTAGAGGACTTATTTATTTAAAATCAACCAGGCTCATCATACATAAATTCCATACTATGTTGTCCATACTTACTCATCTCTATGCACAGCCACGTTTATACATCTAAAAATGAGTGTTTAAATGCATAAATTTGCACCTTGGAAGACCGTTTTGCAAACCATCGAAAACACTGATACCTTGACTCCTTACCTAGCTTTCTTTTAAATATTACGTCAGCATGTCACGTCAACAGTTTGCCTATTATGTTAGTTTACGTCGTGGTGATTTGCGGTCCTCTGGCCTGGACAATGTCTTATGTCATGATAAAGGACAATGTTTCAGTGGCTTGGATCCATAGGTAAGCCATGAATTAATCGTGAACACTTTCTCGTCACGAGTGAAACCCTGTCCAGTTCAGAAGACCTCACCTCTCGAACAGTTCACCGAATTTGAACCCGCAATTTTGGACAACTCAGGATGCTAACTTACTCCAGGCTGGCAGGTATCTGAAGCAAATCCAACCATCGGAATGTTCCTGTGCTTTTCATTTTACAAATTAATTGCTCTAAGGATCATTTGAGTGTTTGCTTTCAAGGTAACTCTTAACTGTCAAGGATAAATCAAGTTTGTGGTGACTTGCATTAGTAATATAAGATTCGGTCAATTGCCAGCATTTTCGGGGTGAAATGCCGGGAAATGTCAACCCAGAAATATTTAAATTCAACTGAGAGTTTCTTCGATGTAAAAAAGTACTTGTTCTGCTTTACAATGCACTTCACTGCCCATTTGTCACTAAATTCAGTCAAATTCACACACTTTACATTATTTCCACTCAACTCGAAGTTTGTTAGACCCAACTATTTTGTCGCATGTCCGAAAAATGTAAAGAAATCAGACCTTTGAGGCCGAGGTTATCCTTTTTCCGCAAGCAGCACAACTGTTGGTAAAATTGGCGTCATAACAATCGATGCAGTATGGCTTCTCTGAATTAAGAATATATCGCTGTCCAACAAGGGACTTCTCACAGTTCGAGCATTGAAAAACCTCACCAGACTCGGCTCCAGTCATTTTAGAATCGGACATACTAGAAAGAAAAGAATAACCATTTTACCAAAGTTCAATGTTAATTGTCTCAAATCGCCTAATTTTTTTAAATTTGCTTCTGCATTTTTTCAAGTTTACAAACTCATGATTTAGTTTTAGGTAGATCTCGATAAAGTTGCTTACACAAAAGAAAAACGACTCTCGGTGACCTCATAATAGGCTTCTAAGTAATTATTTTACCATATTTTTTAATGGTTCATAGGTTAAACTCGACTCGCTCGATGAAGTTAGTAAATTCAATGGAGTTACTTTGAGATATTTTTGAGGTCACTTGTTTTTATTACCAATTTTTTACAGCAAGCCGCAGAATAGTTTTTAATTCGAATAACTTTTCTGCATGGTTATGTCCACAATTAAATATTAATTTGAATTCAACCTACTTAGATCACTTGAAAATCTAATTTTCCACCACAAACAAATCATGTTTTAACAACCGTTGCAAGGCCACTGTAGTTCTGGACACGGCTATCAATGGTAGTTAACAGTACAATGTGTAAGGTTAAACAACAGTAATACTAACGATACTTTGAGAAATATATATATGGAAGTAAAAACCTACGTAAAGTCTACACTACCGAATAAAAAATCAATAAATTGGTTCTATATTTTCATGCAGAAAATGTATGTTTCCTCGAGCCCAGTAAAAGGCCCGAGACGATGATAAGAAGACTCGATCGAAGGTATGTAAAAAAGTTCGAGTACCATTTGACAAGTCAGAGCAATAAAACAATGGCGTTGGTTTTCCATAACAAATCAAAATGATTGATGCAATGCACACCAACAAAATTCTCACAATTGAGTATCTGTGTGTGATTACGGAACGAGAGAGAGATGCAACCAAAGACTAATAGATTTCTAATTGGATCGAATAAGATTTCAGTAAAAGACTTTCTAGAAAATTTTTTCAGCGTAATATATCCGATACTAGCAGAAACGATTTCCCAATTGGTAATAATGATTTCAAATAACCTAAGTAAATCTTATTTTAGCTATATGCATAGCCCTGTTATTTTACAAATCAAGTAATCTGTTAGTATTCAATAAAATCCATCTCTGAGAACTTCGTTTATGGCCTAACCTTTCCAGTTAAAATTTAAGAAATACCTTTATTTTATTTTACTTTGTCTACATAAACGTGATCGCGAAAATCTGCACTCAGTCACACACTCATTCTACCAATCCGCTGTTACGAGTAAATGAAATGAAAGCCTGAGTTCAAGGAAAAAAAGTTACTTACAACTTCTAATTTAGTCCCGTACTGTGAAGTTAAATTCACTCGAAGTCGGACCCGAGAAAATAGAGCGTCCAAACAAAAACGTGTCAATGGGGCTATTGACTCGTGGCGTTAAACTGACCCAAGCGCGCGAACGTATCAATGCGCACACCCGCGTGTTCCCTGAAGGGCAGTAACGCACCGCACTTGTGCATGTCCGTCCCACTAAATGAAGCACTCCTTCCACGCCGTCGTGAACGCCTAGGCGCATCAACGTTTTCCAACCTGTAATGGCTGACACGTGTCAAGTCTCACCTACAAAATTGACTGGGTACGAACTTGCCTAGAACGTTTTGCTATTTACGTATCTAAAGGGCTTGTACTTTAGGTTTTTAGGAAACCCGCTTCCACTTACCAATTTCTTTGGGGGTAATAGAATAAATTTTTCAATTGACTTGCCGGATTTTGAGTCTCAATCTTAGTCATAACACTAACATCCATTTTGAGCATTATTTCGAGAAAACATCAATGGAGACAGACATCTGGTTTCATTTGATTTCGTTTTCATGAAATGCAACTTAAAAAATCACTGATGATAAAATTGGGTTAGTGCATTCAAAGGAAGAACACATAATCGATATGATAGCTGAAATCAAACGTAAAGCATTTAAAATGTCAAAATGAGTAGCACAAAAGTATGTCGCGGATATAGGGAAACCGCCCTCTCGAAGTTATGATCAATAATGCTTCGAGAGGCGGGGATATTCGCGTGTAAGTTATTAAAAATAGCATGAAGAATAGAGGAGGTACTGATAAAACCAATTAAATTCACAAGGGTCGATGTTCAGGCCATGGTTAAATGTTAAAGGTTGAGTGATCTGACTAGAACATGCGCCTCATCGTACTGTAGAAAGAGGGCAAATTATAATGTAGAGGAATAAATAACGATCCACGGGCCACCAGCAGCCACAGTTAAATTATAGTGGGCCACTCGTTGAATGGTATTTAAAAGTTCCCACTTAACTCCTAATCCTGTTTCTAGCTAAATTTGGATTGTCTGTTTGGGAAACGAAACATGTAAAAATCAACATTTTGTCCATCTCTTTGCATCACTTACACCTCCTGAGTCTACTTATCTGGTCTAATTAGTGATTGTGGACTTCAGTAAAAACTCTAAGCTGGTATTTGCACTTTGCTGATTAACTAAATAGAATCTCGACAAATTTCTAAGGGATACAGCAAATTTTATACAAAAAATCGTTGAATTAATGCGTCATAGTGATAATGGAAGGCTCTAGTTTGATCTAGAGCTAAATCTCTAACCCATTCATACACAAAACACGCCTTGTTAGTCTCTTTACTGAGAAGCTCTCGATACACCGCAAGGCAGCTTTATTCAACACTTCTGCAGCATTTCAAGGTTTAAAGCCTCCTAGGGAGCGACTTTATTAAATGACTGAAATGGAGAGCCGTGGAATTTGTGGGAAAGGGGTTTGGAGCTGCCACTGGAAAAGGCAAGACAAAATACCAAAATTTTCTTTTAATTAGTCAAATCCAATTCTAAATTAACAGTTACTGTATTGATTTAGCTTAGTCGTCTCTTTTTACAAGGACCCTAAACATCGGTGTTACATTTAGCGCTGTGTCCACAAAGTGTCACACGGAGGTAGTTGCCGAGGTAACATTATATTTAGAATCGATGTTGAGAAAACAGTCTTATTTTTTCAAGACGATTATAAGATCTTAAAAACGTAATTTTTTTTTTTAAATTGACCATTTTGTTGCCATGTAAAATTTAGAGCAAACAAAAGATTGTTTTCTAGAGATTCTCCAACCCTGAAATAAGACAAGTCTGAAATCGATTTCATTAAATTTATTTAACTTAGCTAAGTGTAGCAAAAACCAATAAATTGCGATGGCTCCATCCATTAATTAGTAAACTATTTCCCGAAAGAACTTTGTTGGCTGCATTCGAGGAATTTGGTAGCATTGTATCTAATCACATGTAACCGTCGGACTAATTTAACTCACACTTATATTTTGATATGGGTGATAAAAATCCAACTTTGCAGTTTTTACCTAGTGGATAGAAATTAAAGATTTTAATGATTTGCGAACCGTCTCTGAACACACGGTCCATATGAATACTAGGTTTGCCCCTAGTCCAGTTCCGTATTCCACTCGTTCTCCACGAACACTTTATGGTACATTCATTTCTCTTAAACCCACGTACATTATGTAAGTCTGTGAGAGTCCAGCCAGCACACTTACGTCAAGTAAATGCCAGTGTTATAGCTGGCCGTAGCCTTACACTGCGCCCATAACTATGGGCCTGTATTTGGTGGCGACGCCTATGTGGCAAATGGAATTTCAGGGCTGAACCTTGTTTGCCTACTTTAAAACTCAAACATCGCTTACTTTCAAGCAGACTTAAAAGTGGAGGTAAATTCAGCATTTGTTAGTGAGACTATACCAGCGAGGGCTGCATTTCTTGCCCTCGATCAGTAGAGAATAGGGACGGCAAAGGCTAATTAAGGGGCAAAGATCCCAAAGTTGGTTGTGATCGGAAGATCGTCAGGTACTTATGTAAATGCAGGAACTAGCACGAGTTAATTTGGAGAACGTTTCCAACAATGGCTAACAATGCCAACGGATAAACAAGTCTCCATTCTTGAGAGAATACCTCGACTCACTATTGAATATTAAAGGACAACAAATCCCTTAGGATGTTAGCCACCTAAGTATAAGTGTAACACTGTCAGGTAGTTGACGCCAAAATTCATCCCATGGTTCAGTCGACTCATTCCCCACCCTCTATTCTAGCCTGGCTGACCAAACTTGACTGGCGGTGAAATGTTATGCCACCACTTCATGATAGCCAAAGATACTCGGGGTCAATGGCTCTACGTCATTTTCTCAACTGTACTATTTTAAGGTCAAATGGTACGTATTTAAGACAAAAAACTTTTCCCACACAATATTATAAGACCAAGCACATTATTATTACATATTTATTTATCGAATAAAAGGATCATTTTTAAAAATAATGTGTTTAATTGTGGTTCGTGAGCAGAGTTGGGGTATCATCTTTAACCCTTCGATAATAAAATTTGGAACTTTAAAAGCCACTTCACAAATTGCAGATCCAGTCGCTATGACAACATGTGACGTGCTTTGGGTTAAATTGGTGTGTTCCTTACTTTTGCGTATAAAATCACCAAAGGGTGTTATCTATGACTTAGATGCATTACTTTAAAACCAAATTTTGACATTCTCTAGAGCTACTAGCTTGCTCTAACGACCGTTGAAGAAAAACGGTGCCAAAATAAACGATCAAAGCCCTGATGATACTTGCTAGTATTACCATCAATCGTATGTTTCCATCTGGAAATTTTAAAATATTCAATACTCTCATTAAATTAACAACCTCGGGCTAAATTAGTACAGTAATCGACTTTAACACTAACGTTTGCTGCACACTCAGTGATTGGTCAAGAAAAGGCTGTAAGTACCTCAATATAAGAGGAAAACCATCATTCAAGAAGTCACTGCATACATTAACATGCTATCTCCAAGGAACTCGAATTTTGTTTATTTTTGACACTTACTAAAAATAGACCCTCTGTAAACATCACTTTATCTTAAAATCAGAAGCAAGATATTGTAAAGATATCGAAATCAAATCCGGCTTGGTTTAATAATTTACGTTTATCTCTTGCTCGATAGCTTTCAATTTTTATATTGACATAGTTTGTAATTGCAAAAC